GGAGGCTGAGGCAGGAGAATTTCTTGAACCCAGGAAACAGAGGTTGCAGTGAGTCTAGATTGTGCCACTGCATTCCAGCCTGGACAACAGAGTGAGACTCTGTCTCCTAAAAGAAAATGCAAAAAGTAGGAAAAAAAAAAAAAAAGAAAAACACACACACACACCCACAACAACACAAAAAAACAGTAAACAGAGGATGAGGATTTCTTTCCGTCTTTCTGATAGAATCACGAAGACCTGTTTTGCCCATCGTCTCACTGCCCACTGTGCTGCTGAGAATAAAATGGAGCACCCTGGGCCACAGAGATGCATCATCTCTCCAATCAGCTGCCTCTGGTTGAGTAATGGGTATTGCTCAGCTCTGTGAAACTGAACATGCCCACCCTGGGTATATCACCCACCATCCCTCCACCCAGCCATCCACCTTCAACTTCTCCATCTCCACCAATGATATCACCATCACCTGACATGCAGACATTCTTTCTAATGCCTGTCTGCTTTAGCGAGCCTTGCCAACTCACTGTCTCACACTGGTTTCCCTTTCTTTCCACCTCCGGTGAGCACAGCTCAGCTCTGCCCCACAGCAGACCAGAACGACTGCAAATGCTCTGTTCCGTGGCCTGCCTTTCTCCACTCCTAATCCCACCTGCGAAAAGTAGCCAGGATGATCTTCATCAGTGAACCTACAGTAGCTCTTTATGGTTTCCCTGATGAATCCAAACTCTTCTCTGGCTTTCAAACTTGATCTAGTTTTTGCCAACTTTTTGCCAACTTGATCTACTTGCCTCCAACACCTAACCTCTTCTGCTGAATGGTTTTTCCTTTTCCTGTCCTATTTGGACAAACCATGACAGCAAAACGAGTCAGGCTTTGGTGTCTTCTACTCCCTGGCCCTGCCTTGTAATCTGTGTCTTCCCATACCTGTCATTAAACACTTTTCTAATTACTCTGTTTAGCGTTTCTTCTGCTTTCTCTGGTGATACATGATTTCTTTCAAAATCGGGCCCCAAATTTAAGTCAGACAGCCTGGGTATATAAATCCCAGCTTTGTCACCTATTAGCAGTGTTACTTTGGGCAAGTTACATAACCTTTTTGCACTTCAGTTTCCGCTCTGTAAAATGAGGGTAATAGCTCTCTGTAAAACCTCAAAGGATTGCTCTTATGATCAGATGAGTCAATATACACTAAGGCTCCTGGAACGGTACCTGGTAGGTAGTGGCAAAACCAACTATGATAATGATGAAGTGATTCATGGAACTCTGATACATCATTTCTCAGGGTCATGTTAATTATGAATTGTCTCTTTTCAGTGTTGGTCTTTTTATCTGTTTCCTAGAAGCCATCATAGCTTACAGTATCCATTTTTCATACTTTGGTGTCCCTGATGCTAGTTCCTGCACAGTGTAGGGCACAAAGGGAAAACTTACCAATTCCTAACAAATAAACGGCTGACCTAAATTTTTTCTTTTGATAGTTGGCATTGCAATTTAGTCAAAGTTAACACTAGGAGATAGAAAAGAATACACTCTGAGCTTTTATAGACTACTTACTGTGAATTGTCTTCTATTTTCTGTCTGTAGACAGCTGCCAGGCTTCCAATTTCTAAAGAGTAGCCACCTGATCCTGAAAAGGAAGATGAAGGCTTAACAAATATAGCAAGAGACTTATACATACCAACTATATACTGAGAATTATATAGCTGAGAATTCATTATTCTCAGCTCAGAGATTACTCAAAACTGTTATGGTTTTGCTTCAAAGAGAAATTTTCAGAAGCTAACTGTTCATGGTGAATTCAGGTCTCATCAAGAATTCAAAATAAGCGTGGGCAACCCAGGGAGACTCCATCTCTACAAAAAAATAAAAAATTAGCCAGGCATGGTGATGCATGCCTGTGGGCCCAGCTACTTGGGAGGCTGAGGTGGGAGGACTGTTTTGAGTCTGAGAGGTCAAGGCTGTAGTGAGCTGTGATCATGCCACTGTACTCCAGCCTGGGTGACAGGGTGACCTTTCTCTCAAAAAGAAAAAAAAAAAAGTATTCAAAACAAGCATTGCTTGGTAAGTCTAACGAGTTTCTGAGATACATCAAACAGGCCAACTATGCCAAACCAATTGGTCTACAAGGTGACTAGGATCAATTTTAGGCAAGGGGTCATGTTCATAGACTGTGATATCAGCATCTCCTTTGCCTCCAATAATTGCTTCACTTTAGCTAAGTAAAAAGTAGACCAGTGGAAAAAACACTGAGAGAGTCAGTTTGTTTGGAAACGCCAGCACATGGGTGCTGCACTGGCATGGGCTACAGCTACATGGCAACTGATGGACTCCATAGATTATGCAAGGGCAGATACCTTGTTCTTCTCTGTACGGGCTGCTGGGTTCTGAGTTCACCTTCCTCTGGATCCTCTCAGAAGCCTGAACTGTGTTGAAAGAACCATGGCGAGCCAGCTTCTGTTTTGCACAGACTTGAATCTGGCCATATGTTTCTCTTTTCAATTCTGGTAAGACAGATGCAGAAACATCCACCAGTTCTTCATCTACATAAATGAGAGAATTGGTAGTGTTGTTATACAGCTGTAATTCAGGATAATTTTCGTCTATTTAAGAGATGGCTTTGAACCTATAATTGTAATGGAGCTACTACCCTATAAATCAAAAACTAAGACAATCAAAGGAATTTTATGAGCCTTGTCTCAAACCCCAATTTCTTTCAATGTACTTTTTTTTTTTTAAGTTAGTGGATGACTATAAAATGAGATTGAATCCATGTATATTCTAAAATTATCTGAACCGCAACAGAAGTAGAGCAAGATGTTCTTCAACCCGAATTAGAATGAGCCTCACATTTTAGATGCTCTATTTGGGCAGAGAGTATCAAAGGAAAGCCCGACAATGCTCATCCCAAAATGAATATTTTGAGATTCACTTTCAAGATTAACTGAGATCAGCTTCCTATGCCATAGATCTGCAGCAATGAATAAGAGAATCTCTATTTTCTGTTATGCTTTATTATTTCTTTCTTATGCAGTAGGAGGCTCAGTTACTATGTGACCAAAGGAATAAGGTCAGCAGAAACCTCATGGTTGAAATGCTGCAGAACAGTGAGATTACAGAAGGTTAGGCCCTGGAGACACTGTTTGTGTTTAACGGAGTATATGTGGGGTTAAGATAGAACTTTCTATACAGACTCAGGCAGCTATCCATGTTGTACAGATGGTCATCTCTACCTTATTCATTTGTGCTAATTTTTTTCCAAGCTCAAAGCTTGCACATTTTAGTTAGAGAATTGATTTAATAAACTGAAAGGCTCAGCTAGACTTACATTTTCTAAAACATGCATTTCACATTAATTAAACTTTGAAATGAAAATAACAACAAAAAGTAATCTTTACAGTTTTCTTTTTCTTAGAACAAAAGCCCAATTAGAAAAATAAGAAATTACAAAATCAAAAAGAAAACAGGTCAAGTCAGTAATAGGGGCCACATTTGCCTCCTTCCTGTAACAAAATATTGGACATAATGCATAAAACTGTGGCTCTCAACACATTTGGGCATCAGGACATGTAGGCCAGTGATCTCTATGAGACAGGAATCAAATAGGGTGAGTTCTATGATGATTTTAGCTTACTGCCTGGAGAATGTTTCTAGGTTGGGATGTAGGGAGAGGGACCTAGACAGAGACTGGAGGTCCCCCTAAGTTGAGGATAGAGCTGGGAGTCCTGGAAAGTCGAGGCAGCTAGGGTTTGCAGGGCAGAATGCTGGAGAGGAGAGCTATACAGAAAGAGAATGCTGGGGATTTGCAAAGGTCCAAACTGAACATTCAGCGGAGTACTGATGCATGTGAGAAAGATACCCAAGGCCGGGGAAAGAACCATTAGAAAGTACTAGAGGGAACAATGTCTGCAGCTCATAGAGGACTGAGAAAAGTGCCTGTTGCCAATAGCTACAGTAGAAAAACCTCCTAATTCAGGAGGCATTGGTTAGAGTACTAAAAAAGGTGTTGCCCTAATAAGGTGGAAAACGTACTAAAGACTAGAAGCTCATAGAGTTTTACTGAGCCAAACTTAAAAGCAACACCCAAAAGGATCACTGTTTCCATGTAACTTCACCACATCCCAGAACAAAGCTAAGAACATTTTTAGGAATACAGAAATGTCTAGCACCTAATAATGTATAATTATCAGTGTCTGGTACACAACTGAAAATATGACCCACAATGAGGAGAAAAATCAATTGAAATGGACCCAGAAGTGAAGCAGATGATAGGAAGTAGACCAGCACACTAAAACATGTATTAGTATTGCATACCATAAATTCAAGCCACTAGAGGAAAGACTGGATATGTTGTCTTAGAGACATCAAAAATGTAAAAGCTCAAATCAAACTTCTAGAGATTAAAAAATACAATGGTGGGGATGAAAAATACAGTGTATACAATTAATGGCAGATTAGAAAGTGTAGAAATAAATAGAGAACTTAAAGACATAGCAATAGAAAATGTACAAAAATGAAACACTAGAAAAAAGAAATGAACAAAGAATCCGCAAACCATGGGACAACTTTAGGTAACCAAAAGCAAGCATAAGTGGAATCTGTAAAAACAGCAGATGAGGGGACAGGAAAAATATTTGATTAAGTAATGGCTGAAAATTAGCCAAATTTGATGAAAACTTTAAACCCAAAGATCCAAGAAACTCAACAAATCTAAGTACAAGAAACATGAAGAAAAGGACACCAAGTCATACATCATCAAATCACTTAAAACCAGTCATAGACAGAAACTTAAAAGCAACTAGGGAAAAATGACACATTAACATTTAAAGAACAGGATGATGGTTGATTTCTTGCCAGAAACTATGCAGGCTAGAAAACAGTGGAGCAACTTCTTTAAAGAACTAAAGGGCTGAGTGTGTGGGCTCACACCTGTAATCCTAGCACTTTGGGTGGCTGAGGTGGGATGATCGCTTGAGCCCAGGAGTTTGAGGTTGCAGTGAGCCATGATCGTGCCATCACGCCACTGCACTCCAGTTTGGGTGACAGAGTGAGACCTTGTCTCTAAAAAAAATAAAATTAAAAAAAAAAAAAGGAACTAAAGGAAAAAAAAAACTTCAACCTCAAATTCTTTTATTTATTTGATACAGGGGCCTTACTGTATTGTCTAGGCTGGACTTGAACTCCTGGGCTCAAACAATCCTCCCACCTCCTTCCTCCTGAGTAGTGGGGACTACAGGCATGAGCAATGGTGCCTGGCGTCAACCTAGAATTTTTTACCCAGCAAAAACGTTTTTCAAAAGCAAGGGCACAATAAAGACATTCTCAGACATACAACAGCTAGAAGAATTCATCATTGGCAGACTTGCACTAAAAGAAATGTTAAAGTTCATCAAGCAGAAAAAAAATGATATTAGATGGAAACCTACATTTACAAAAAAATGACAAGCACTGGAAATGGTAACAACATGGGTTAGGGTTAGGAAATTTTCTTATTAAAATTTCTTTAAAAGGTAATTAACTGTGGACCAGGCGTGGTAGTTCACACCCCTAATCCCAACACTTTGGGAGGCTGAGGTGGGTGGATCACTTGAGCTCAGGAGTTGGAGACCAGCCTGGGCAACATAGTGAAACCCTGTCTCTACCAAAAAAACAAACAAAAAATCCCCAGTAACACACTATGGGGTTTGTAACATATATAGCAGTAAAATGTTTGACAGCAATAGCACAAAGGCCAGGCAGAGAGGAATGAAAGCAAGTTATTGTAAGATTCTTGTACAATACATGTAGTATACTATCACTTGAAAGTAGACTGTGACAAATTAAAAATGTACACTATAAACCTTAAAGCAACCATTAACACAACAAAGAATTATAGCCAAGAAATCAACAAAGGAGATAAAATGGAAGCATAAAAAATACTTAATAAATCCAAAAGAAAGAAAAAGAGGAAAAATAAGCAAATAGGACAAATAGCAAGATGACAGATTAAAATTCAAGATCAATAATCACATTAAGTGTAAATGGCCTAAATAACCCAATTGAAAAGCATAAACTGTCAGATTAGATGAAAAAGAATTCAACTATGTATACTGCCCACCAGACACTCACATTAAATACAGACAGAAATTATTTAAATAAAAGGATAATATATATTATGCTAACTAATAAAAAGAAAGCTGAAGTGACTATATCACTATGAGACAAAGTAGATTCCAGAGCAAAGAATTATCTCCGGGAATAGAGGGTAATTTTATAATGATAACAGGGTCAGTTCATCAAGAAGACATAGTGATCCTAAATATTTATGCAGACAGAGTTCATGAAAGAGCCTCAAAATCCATTCCACAAAACTTTACAAATCTGCAACTATAATCAAAGATTTCAATATCCATCTATCAATAATGGCTAGAACAAGTAAACATAAAATCAGTAAGAATATAAAAGAACTGGACATTTATAGAACATTCTACCAAACAACAACAGAATATATACTCTGTATATTTGTGTATATTTACCAAGATGGACTGTGTCTGTACCACAAAACAAGTCTCAATAAATTTAAAAGATTCAAGTTATACAAAGTATATTCTCTGGTTACATGAAATGAAATTAGAAATCCGTAAGAAAAAGACGTTTGGAAAATCCCGGAATATTTAGAAACTATATGACACGTGTCTGAATAATTTGTGGGCCAAAGAAGACATCAAAAGGGAAAACAGAATGTATTTTGAATTGGAAGACAATGAAAACACACATATCGACATTTGTTAGATACAGCTAAAGCAGTACTGAGAGGAAAATTTATAGTACTAAATGCTTATTGGAAGAGAAGAAAGGTCTCAATTATTTCAGCTTCTACCTTAATAAACTACAATAAGAACAAATTGAACTCAAAGGAGCTATAAAGAGATAATCTGAATAGCTCTATAGCTATTCAAAAAATGTAATCTGTAGTTTAAAACCTTCTCACATAGAAAGTTTTTAACTACAGATAAAAACCAGACCCAAATGGCTTCACTGAAAAATTCTTTATTTATCAATTCTTCACTGATAAATTCTTCCAAACATTTAAGGAAAAAATAGTAACAATTCTACACAAACTCTTCCAGAAAACTGAAGAGGACTGACTATTTCCCAACTCCTTTTAAGAGGTATTAGCATGACAGCAAATAGACAAACAGATCAGTGCAGCAGTATGGAGAGTCCAGAAACATTACCATACATATATGTGGTCAATTTATTTTTAATAAAGGCACAAAAGACATTTAGTAGAGAAAGGATAATATTTTTAACAAATGGTCTGGGTACAACTGGATATCAATATGTAACCTCCCATCCTCTCAGAAAAGCACCCCACTGATCCATAACTCACACCACATGTGTGATCTCGTGTTAGGCAAAGATTTCTTACCTAAAAACTGAAAACATGACCCACTAAAGAAAAACATTAATAAAAATTAATATGTTAGTGGAATTCCTGAAGATTAAGATCTTCTGACTTTCAAACGACACTGGTAAGAAAATGAAAAGACAAAGCCACAGATGGAGGGGAAGTATTTGGAAATCATATACCTGATAAAGACTTGTATGCAGAATATATATACAACTCTCACAATTCAATAATAAGAAAGCAGACAACCCAATAGCAACAAATGGGCAAAAGATCTGAGCACACCCTTCACTAAGGAAGATAAACAGATGGCAAAACAGATGTTTAACATCATTAATCACTAGAGAAATGCAAATTAAAACCAAAATGAGATACCACTACACACCTATCAGGATGGCTAAAATTAAAAAGACTGACCATATCAAGTTTTGGCAAGATATGGTTGAACTAGAACTCTCATATACTGTTGGTAGTAAAATGTTATAACTGCTTTGGAAAACAGTTTGGAAGTTTCTCAAAAATTTCAAACATCCACCTACTATACGTTGCAGCCTTTCCATTCCTAGGTATTTACGCAAGAGAAATGAAAACATATGCCCATACAAAGACATGTACATAAATAATCACAGGAGCTTTATATATAATAGCCTCTTCAGCAATAAAAATAAATTACTGATACATGCTACAATATGTATAAATCTCAAAATAATTCTGCTGAGTGAAAGGAGCCTGATCAAAAGAGTATAGTTACAGTTGATTCTCATTATTCACAGTAGTTATGTTCTATAAAGTCACTGCAAACACCGAATTAGCAAATACTGACCCATTGCTTCTAGGGGACATAAAGGATTAGGTTCCTGTGAGCCTCTGGTTGCAACATTTTCATTAGCTGATCAATATATGACCTTGTTTATGTGTGTTTCTTTTTAAAGAAATCTGTTTAATATTTGTTGATTTATTAACATTGAACTTGGCCAATAGTACTATAACTCATACCTGATCAAAGCTTATCTAACACATGTATATTCTCCGTAAGGCACAATGCAGCTTTCTTGTGTTAAGAAACACTAGACAGCAATACTTGGGAGCCAAAAAGCACAAAAATGTGAACAAGTGGCACTAAAAAGATTGCAAACAGAATGCTGGCTTATGGTATGAGAGCTGGAACAAGAAGGCAGAGTACTGCCTGATTCATCTGGGAACATGTGCATTGGGAGACCCAAATTCTTTACCAAGCTGTGCATGACCACAACTGACTGTGGAAAAACACCCTGAGTACTGACTTTGGAGTTACAAGTTAATTTTAGTAAGTAGACAGATTCGCGAATATGAAATCTGTGAATAATGAAGATTGGCTATACATGATTCACTTACAACAAAATTATAGAAAATACAAACAAATCCAAGTGACAGAAAGCAGGTCAGTGGTTGCCTGGGGATGGGAGTGGGGACCAGGAGGGAGGAATTACAAAGGGCGCAGGAGGAGGCTTTTGAAGGTAATGGATATGTTCATTATCTTGATGATTTCACAGGTACATACATATGAAAAACTTATCAAATTGTAACTTTAACTTCCTGCCATTTATTACATATCAATGATATCTCGATAAAGCTGTTAAAAAGAAAACACCATTCATAATACACTGTGCCATGCTGGTAGGAAAGAGGAGGAGGAAGACATTTATAAAATTTGTGAGAAATGGCTAGCCAAGGGATGAAGGAGAATGGCTCAAGGAATCAAAGGAAACTTGATGTTATCAGTAATGAAACTAGGGAATACAGAAAGAGCAGGTTTCTGGAGGGCAGAGGAAATATGTTCAATGTGATTTTCCTGACCTGCCTCCAAAGTCTTTCTCTCATGTCAAATCAGAGAGTTCTCCCTGTTCTGTCCCGTGGTGCAAATACATGAACTTCTCGACTTCTCAACAGCTGCTCATCTTCCAGCTATCTTACTTTCTTTTTCTTTCTTTCTTTTTTTTTTTTTTTGAGATGGGGTTTCGCTCTTGTTGCCCAGGCTGGAGTGCAATGGCGCGATCTCGGCTCACTGCAACCTCCGCCTCCCGGGTTCAAGCAATTCTCCTGTCTCAGCCTCCTAAGTAGCTGGGATTACAGGTGTGTGCCACCATGCCTGGCTAATTTTTGTATTTTTACTAGAGACGGGGTTTCATCATATTGGTCAGGCTGATCTCGAACTCCTGACCTCAGGTGATCCACCCGCCTTGGCCTCCTGAAGTGCTGGGATTACAGGTGTGAGCCACAGTGCCCAGCCCAGCTATCTAATTTTCTTCAATGGTACGACCACCTTTGAGTCCTTCCTCTCTTTTAATCATTGTCCGAAGACTCTTGGTTAATTCTGTCTATCACATCTAGTCCAAATTTCTTGCCTTAATTTTTGAGGCCTTCCAAAAATGCAGTCCCCAGTGATCACACTGTAACACTGTATCTCATTATTTTTTATCCCATGTTCTCTTCATCCTTCCAAAACCTAACAGCCCATCAGAACTTAATTTGTATCCTCTCTGAATGCCTATAGAGCCAGTACCACCCCATCTAGAGTGTAATTGCTCTCCTAACTTTCAAATGTGTGCTAACTATATGCCTAATTATAGAAGTTCATTAACCAAGTAAAGTGAGTAAGGCACTGTTCTGGATACTATGGGGTAATCAAGGATGAATAAAGATGATGTCTAGTCTCAAATGTGTAGGGCAGGGACGACACCATCGTATCAACCTCATCCAGCACAAACCGCACCAATACTCAATTGCAGTCATTCAGATGAGACACTCTGCTCTGGGCTATCAGGGAAAACTTCATAGAGGAGTTGACATTTGAGCCAGATCTTGAAGGTTGAGAATATTTTCATGTTAAAAAGAAGAGGGCTTCACAGGTGAAAAGAACGGGAGAAACCAGAGGCAGAAAGGAGAAAATGGCAAAGTTGTATGCTTCATGCAGGTAGGGACTGTGTCACCCACATCTTCAATCTCTCAGGGCCCTTAGTATAGTCACTGGCACACAGTCCACACTCAGTGTGTATGCACTGGGTTGAATTTGTTATACTTGATTTTAAGTGGTTTCATCTAGATCCTAAGTGAATAATGTGCTACAAGTGAGGTGGAGAGCTATATAGTTATAAGCCTGGGTTAAGTGGCTCACATTTATACCACTAACACCAAAATTGGAAGGGTAATTTAAAAATGACTTCAATGGCTTCTTCCCAGGCAGTACAGCTGTATGTAAAATAGCTGGTGCAGTTGGATCTAGTCCCTGATTGCTCATATATTACCCATGAAATAAGTATAAGATAATATCCTCTTTGACTCCTGTTTTGTAAAATTATATTTATAACCTTTTAAATAAAAAAAGTCCATTACATTCATACTATATTTAGATGCAATCTTACCACCTATTAGTTTTGTGATAGTAATTGATGTGATTTTTACTCATAATTTTTACATTATGTAGAATTTCAAAGAGAAACCACGTTTTATGCTGCTAATGTAGCAACAACTGAAGTTCAAAAGAGGTGTCATTTTTAATTCTCAGTCCCAAACTTTCAGGAAAAAGCTTCAGAACAAAATTTAAACAGTTAAAGAGCTGTAAATTAGGAGAGATACTCCCACGTTATAAACGCTCAGTATTTCTTTTCCTACTGTGTGTGGGCAAACCAGCACGCACAATTTGTAGGCTAATGTTAACCGTTCCAAGAGTGGAGTCACATGTCTATTTTGTATGTGACATGGGAAAAGATCAGTCTCACTGTGTAGTAGATGTGAGACCTGAAAAAGGAACTGAGAATTGGAAATAAAACAGCCTGCTAGCAAAACCACGCCACCTTACCATTTGAGCTGAAGTCTACAGGCCCAATCCACTTGAAGGCTGGTTTACGGCCTCGCTCTTCTGTTACATGCACTTTCTTTATCAGAGCCAAGCTGGTCAGAACATTGGCTATGTCATAGAGGCGTCGTACCTTTGCTTGAAGATATAAAACACGATTATGATCATGCTGCCTGTGACACCATAACAGTTTAGTTTATGTGACAGGTAACTTTTCTCAGCTGCCATATAAAGCTCGGGTGGAAAGCAGCAAGCTGGGATGAGGAGACCAGTGGCTCTGTTATAAAATCACCCAGGATTTATGTACCTGCAGTATCTGAAGGCTAAGGGAAGGTCAGTGTGTCCTTACATTTCCACAACTTCACACCTCTTACAAGAGGCACCTGGCGACACACAGGGAGCACTGTGATTGCAAAAACAGCAAGGGAGGGAATGGGCTGTAATTAAAGGCTTAGTGAATGTAATTCTGACATGGCACGTCAAAAGCATGCCCTGAGTTTCTCCCAGCAGGAGACTGTGGTGCCAGCTCCACCAGGCAGCTGATCTGTGAAAATGACAAAGATTCCCCAGAGCTTCCTGTCAGGTTGCACTCCTGGGCACACAGGATGCTCAAGGTCAACAGTACAACTGTGCTAAAGACAGGCAGCTCACCTGAAATCGTAGCATTCCAGCCACCCAGTGAGAAGCGGTTGGATGGGCCTCACCTGAATCTTAAGTGGCTTTGGGAGAAACACTTAAATATGTACAAAGTAGAGGAAATACTTAGTAGGGGTGGTAGCACATGAAACAGGCAGGATAATGACCACAGAGTATTTTCTATTCAAGAAATGGATTTACAGGTAGGAAACCCACTTGACCTCGGTGTTGAGATCAAGCAAAGAAGTTTGAATTATCATCTAGAAATAGTAAGCATTCACCCCAGATGCAGCTTTCTTCTTCCCAATCCTGATTTTATCTAGCCACTTCACCCACAGGGTGACTGTAATTTCAGCTGGAAACAAAAAATAGCTAGAGAGTGTTGCAGCTCATGGTTTCCTGGGGCTTACAGGCTACCAGCAGCCCAGGGCATTTGGCTCAGTATCCAAGCCGGACAGAAAAGGAGGATGCACTGGGTGTGATGCTTGGAAACTCTCTCCCTGTCCATGTCCCACCACCCTTACCCTGGGCATTCTTCTGGTTCTTACCTGTAGACAATTTTCATCTCCACCCTTCAGAAGAGTATGCAGGGGGTGGGGAAAAAAGGGGAAAGAAAACTCAGACATTCTGTCTTGGATGCAGCATTACTAAAGAGAAATGCAAAATAATTCACACCCTCCCTAACCGGAGTTCTCAGGATAGTGTTCTGTTTTTTCACTCTACTGAAACCATCAAGAAAAAGGCACTGACAGGACTTTAAGCTGAATTCTAGTAGGTGACTAACTTACCTCTCACAGCACCAAAAACCTTGATGAATGCAGGAAAGGAGTACGTATGTCAAAAACAATATATATATTTTTAATCTTGGAAGGAGAAAATATCAACACATGAAATCCCACCCTTTTTGTACTAGTAAGTTGATGTAGGTGAAGATTCTTACTTTTAAATTTACTATGGTCCGGGGCATCTTGGCTTTCTTCTATCAGTATTTTGGCAGCCACATCCAGAGTGACAATCTTGGTTTTGGAGACGAGGAACAGCATGACAAACTTCTGGCTCATAATTCTCAGAGACTTGTCTTTTCTACTGTTTGCAGATGCTACACAAGGAATGAAACAAAAGCATCAAAGCACATGATTTTCTACAAGAAAGACTATACTTGCAGCTTCCCAAAATGATCTAGCCCTATCAGCAGATGGAACAATCACCCTTGTCACAGGCAGAAGCTTACTGGACACACATTGCAGAAGTCAGCTCAGGAAGAAATGAGGCCGATTTTCTTGTGGCTCGTAAAATTACTCTACAGTAGGCATAAACTCTGAGATGCATATTTTAAACCACTCAATGCTTTATACTTATACTTCCTACAATAGAATCCATACGGTAGTTTTACCGAGGCAACTTCTTGGAAAGATTAACGTAGAATGATAAAAAGATAGGGTAGGAATGTAGAATTGTTTTTAGAACATCAAGTCTCCTCTCAAAGGCAAATTGCTACTCCATTTTTATTTCTCTGTGCCTGCAATATCTAGACTATACCCTAAACATAGTAGATGCCCGCCTCTTCCACTCCTTTTCAGAAATATGTGAATAAATGAACTATATAGAAACAGAAGACAGATTAGATATGTGCTCCTGTGGATGGCAGGCAAACCATCCCCGACAGATGGCTGTCTTCTCTGGTTATTAAGATAAGTACTGGCTCATGGGGTGGAACTAAAAGGCATGAGGCAGTGAATCTAATGAAAACCAGGCCCACCTTTCTTTCCATTTCTTATATTTGCAAGTGAGACGTGATACTTGTACTTTGTCATCTTAACAACAGGGATGAAGATCAATGGCTAAAACAAGAATAGGCTAAATATGAATTGGGAAGGAAGAATGCCGCCGATGTAAATAAAAATTCTGCACCAAATGAAAGCAGACGTTGTCTGTCTTTCTTATCAACATTTTCTGCGAATGGAGTTCTTTTCCAAGTAGTCTAAGTCTACTTCAGTATATAATTAGATAAAACTCTTTGAAAATATAACTTTTTCAATGTAAATCTTACAGTTGCACAAAAAGAAGCAGCATGGGGCTGCCAGTCTAAAAATGGGAGTACTGCTAGCGATCTATTCTCCCACCAGCCCAAACTCGAGTGAACTGCCATCGGCCAGGTTTGTTTAAATGAGGTCGAGTGGACAGTCCAGTTGGGGAGTCATCTGCTTTCCTTTCTCCAGTGAAGAGAATAAGAGGACATCTCCCTCCAGGTTTGTCAACCTGGCACTTCCCATCTAAGCAGTGAATCTCTGCAGAAAAGACCATCACTCGCTCTTTCTCTGCCATTACTCATGAAGTTACAATGGACTCACAAGAGGGATAGTCAGGTTCGGAGAAATCCAATAACTGTTGTTCCTGGGAATCTGGATCGCCATCTTTTCTACGTTCTCCAAATTTATAATCCATCAGGTCCAGCTCTTTCTGTTGGAGGTAGGCCATCTGCTCTTCATATTTCTGCTCCTCTCCTAGTCTCTGGAGGTTCCTCAGGGTTTTTGGCAGGCTGTGCCGTCCATGCCAGCCATACTGATTCTTAGCCACCCGGCTGACCAGATGCAGCGATTCCAGCACATTTACAATGTCATAGATGCGTCTCCTTTCCACACCTGTTTAAAAACAGAGGCCGATGGACATCATGCAGACAAACATTTTTGAAGAGAAGTTTCTTGAGGGCCTGGACTATGTCTGTGAACTACTTTGTCTGATCCCCAATATAATGCCCACTGCCTGGATGCTCAAGAAATTCAACCTGTAAGGATGCAACCAATAGAAATTATTTTTCTTTTTCCGTCTTGAGATCCAACCCTTAAACAGATCTAAGATAAAACATCTATCTAGAGATGGTGACATTTCCATCTGTCTGACATAAATAGTACAGCAACTGCTCTTTAGACGTGTCAGGCAAACCACACAAACATTTCAGCATGCTGAAATTGGTGGTCTGAGCAATACACGTAACAGTGTGCCTAATGGACACTTGATGAATGGATGGTTGACTGTGACTTGTACTCCTAATTTTGCAGACTATAAAATCAACTGTGTCCAATAACTGACACTTCCCCATTAGACAATACTATCTATCCTTTCATGAAGTTCCAATGATATAAAAATATTACCTTGATAACGCTCTCAATGGACCAGTAAGGAAAATGGATGCAAATATTATGTTTTCTATTTTGAACTGGAAATGCAGGTGTCAAGGGCTTGAATACCCTTCTCATATTGCTGAAGGAAGCCAGAGCTGGGGTTGGAACAACATGGGAGTCTCCTTTTGTTCATCATGGCTATTGACAATTCTCTGTGTTCTCATTCACCATAACCTGGCAAACAGCCCAAAAGTGAAGCACAGAGACTCCAGTACAAGCTGACCACGAGGCTCGGCAGCTCACTACTCACTTTCCCAACACTCCCAAGGCAGCTAGGATTATAAGCTGTCCATTACACCTAGCAAAAATACTTATAGTGGTTAAGGTGGGGGGCTCTGGGGTCAGACTGCCTACATTTGAATCCCTGATAAATCCCTTAGTAGCTGAGTGATCCTGGGAAGTTACTTAACCTTTTTGTGTTTTTGTATTTATCTTATATAATAATGAGGATGAAATCTAACTGTAACTGTAGAGTCCCCAGTAGGTGTTAATTTTAAATAAATACTTTTGTCATTACTTTTGGCATGACATTGGTTATACCTAAAATCCCTGCTAGCATGAGAGGTCATAGTAGAAATAGATTTTTTAAATCTCATGTCTGTGATTCATTCTGTTATCTAACAGGCCCTTGGGCCTATAGCAAAAGCCTCCAGGCATCTTGCAGAAAACCAGACCAGCTACAAAGATGCCTTCTTTCATTTGCCAGGAGCTGTTATATAATCAGGGCAGACTCTGAATGTAGCTGTTGGCCCTTCAAAAATTTAACATGAGAAATATACCAAATTACAATGAGAACTCCAGAGCTGAGAGGAAGTTCTATCACATGCATGAAGAAGCATTTCACAGTCAATCAGAACATTTCAGCTCATGACCCTGAAAGGCTTGTTACCCTCACAAGCTCAGGCTTCGGTGCCAGATGCCTGCTGGAAGGTGCTGGAAGGTGCTGGCAGGAGCAGGCAGCAGCCCCTTGTCCAGAACTGCCTGCTTCTTTATTCCAGTCTGTTTTCATGTATTAACACATCTTGTTTACAGCATAACATTATATAAACCTTCCCATTATAAATGTCATGTGACCGCAACTGACACCCCAGGGCCAGCCATATGCCTGGCTGTTTTGTTAGTTGATATCTGACGACAAGCTGTTAAGTCTCCATCTAGTGGCTAGACATCCCAAGAAGGGAAAATAAAAGAAGTTTCTGACCATCCAGATGATTCTCAGGATGCATAGTGGCTGCTTAGTAGGTGCTTTTGGTGAAAACCAACATGACAGCTGCCTGTCTGCACAATCCCTTACCTCTTTCATCTGAACTGAGCTTAACCATCCACTGGCTGGTGCACTAAAAAGTTCCATTTCACAGGTCTCAAGACCCGTAGATTACTCTGGGGGCTTGCTCTGTCAGAACGGTTTTCCCTGCATTCAGTCTTCTTTTTCTTTTGTATTGAAGTCATTCTATTAACCCCAATCATGGCATTAGTTATATGGTCAAGGATTTACTAATTTTTGCTATGCTTCCCTTAGTTGCTGGTGGGACTTACTAAGAATTCTCAGTCCAGAAAAATAGTTTCCTAGGCTGTGCTATTAAGTCACTCCCAGTTCTCTAAACTGTTACCCATGATATCCAGTGTCAAATCTACATAGCACTGGAATCTGGAAAACAATGCAATTTGAATGCTCTGCACATCCTCAGTAAAATACAGTCTTGCAGTCTGTAACCTGGGATGTAGCACAGAGTTCAGACTCAACCCCAAAAGATAGATCGGCAGTGAAATAGCTTCCAGCAAGGGACCCCATTTTATGATGTCACATGAAAAGATGGCATGCTTATTTAGCAGGTCTGGGTGATCAGGAGGCACTGGGAAGCTGTTGTAAAAATCTCTAGAGTTCTGCTCCAGGCAGCCATAACATGGGGTGTGCACAACCATCTGCAGTCATACGAAAGTAGGAGTCCACGTTTCTGTCCTCTCTGGGATACAACACAGCCCTCAAACATCTAATCCTTTGTCTTCTGCAGGGACACCAGTGCAAGACTCCTTAATGGAAGTTGGGTACATGGAGGAAGTAGGCTTCATGAACCCCAATGAGAAGGGTATCAGACAATCTGTCATTTTACCTTCATTACTGTAAGACTAGTTTCTAGAACCTTGGACCCAAAAGCCCTCAACTGGCTCTTCACCATGCCTACTGGAAGATGCTGGCAGGAGCAGTCAATAGTCCCTTGCCCAAAACTGCCTGCTTCTTTATTCCAGTCTGTTTCCATATGTTAACACATCTTGTTGAGAGAGTATAACATTCCATACACCCTCCCATTAGAAATGCCATGTGAATGCAACTGATACACCCCAGGGCCAGCAAGGGACCCCATTTTTTGATGCTCAGTTGGCTCACTTTCCCTTTTTTGATTAATTGCCCCCAATCCTAGAATACTATATTACACTTCTGGGCTCCAAATCGGCCCCCAAACCATAGCACTCTACTTCCTCTTCCTATAGAGATGGACAAGGCAGCTAAGGTATCGACATTCTAGGAAGAGCTGAGTAGAAACTGTTCCACATAATAAGAGCTCTCCATACCAGCCATTGACTTTGGCATGTTACTGACATTATCCCTAACTTTGCTATGTCTCTGCAAGGTAGGTGCTGCAGTCTCTAAGTTATAGACCCCCCAAAAAAATAAATAAATAAAATAAAAAGGTTAATTCACTTTTTAAAGCTCTTACAGCCTGTAAATTAGAAAGCTGGGCTTCAAATCTAGCCCCATGTGACCCAAAGCCCAGCCCATGGTCTTCTTATCATAACCCACTATCTCTTCTTCTCAGTTTCCAACAACCAAATCTATTTAGCTTTCAGCTTGAATAATTCAAGTTGACGTTTCTCTACTTGGGCACATTTCTCTAGGATATGGAGGAAATAGAACTAAGAAACAAACTAAAAATTATAATCTATCATTTATTTAGCTGATTTCTTCCGAACTTTTTCTTTTTTTGTGTGTATGTAAAACCTTCCTATTTTTAAGGGGACACCCTGACACCTTCAAGTCATTGTGATTTCTGCTTACTTAACGATTGTCAACAACACATTCATTCTGGAACTAACTGCAATGTCCACTAGGGGTCTCTATTCTGAAGCAGGTGTATACATATTTCCAGCACATACACCCATCTCACATCATACACTCATGCACGTGAACACACGGATTCTTCTTTGTTATAAGATTTAGTTGTTTGAGTTATGTCCAAACGACCTTTTCCTAGTTTGACCCACTTGCTGTGCCAATCATCGTATAGGGCTTTAAACATAATGCTCTTGCTCTCAAATCTTGCTTTACAAAGTTGAAATCACACCAGTTCTGAACTCCTGGAAGCATTATTAAAAATAAAAAGCAGGCTATTTCTAAATAGTTTTGCATCTGTCTGAAGTAGGATGAATTTAAAGTATGAGATACTAATTTGTAATGAAACTCTATTATAAAAATATATTTTAAGGTTAAAAGAGACTGCATTCTCATTTGGTCCTGGAGGCTCCCTGAAATTCTGTGTATAATGAAAACAAATTTGACAATGACAAAGGAAGCTCTGCCTATTCCTCTGTCTTCACCCAATTGAGGGGCCCACACTACCTCAACCTTCAGCCTGCCCAAGGAAACCAGTTTCCCACTGTAACTGGAGACAGGCCTCCAGGTAATCTGATGATACATACCAAGACTGACAGCAACTTCATCTAGGGAGATGGTAGTTTTCTCAGTTGACAAGGGATAACTTGGATAGCGAGCTAGAAACTTCTGGCACAGGAGTCCTAAACTTTTCTGTTTTCTGCTTGGCCTTTGCTTTTCAAATTCGTCCACAGCACTGTCCCCAACAACATCAAGCTACAGAGGGCAGATAGAAGGGAGGGGGAAGATGTCACAGTTAACATCCTAATGGAGAAACGGCAATGGCCAGTACTGGCAAACTGGGGGGACATCTCAATCCACACCATCCTAGATTCTGGTTAAAATACATTTCCTAATCTCATTCCCTGAATGTTTTATCTATTGTCTTCTTTGGACTGATTTTTTTTTTCTCCTTTATAATTTGAGGCTGAGTCTATTAGTGAAAAGTTTGACAAATGAAAAATGCAAGTCATTTACAGGTTGCTACGGTCTAGCTACTAGTGCGCTCGCTGGGCCTGTGGAATCAGCATCACCAAGAGCTTATGAGATGTAGAAGCTCAGGCATCAGCTATATCAGAATCTGCCTTTTCATAAGATTCTAGGTGATTTTTATTTGACGTGGAAGTTTCAGATGCACTGGTCTGCATTCTGTCACCAAACTGCTTTAGATTTTACAATTGATCAAAGGTTGATGAAAGTGAATGAAGGCAGTCCAATCATATTCTTCCTTATCCTTTTATTTGTAAATACATTAAACTATCATCCTGTCTCCTTAACCCACATTTGAAAGGGGCTCCATTCAAGCCCCAAGAAAGTAAAAGGCTTTTCGACAAACAGATTCAAGAGAAAAGTCATATAATCATTTCTATAGATTCAGAAAAAACATTTGATAAATTTAACAGTCATTCATGATTTTCAAAAACACCTTTAAAAAACTAGGAATAACACACCGGGGCCTGTCGTGGGGTGGGGGGAGGGGGGAGGGATAGCATTAGGAGATACACCTAATGTAAATGACAAGTTAATGGGTGCAGCACACTAACATGGCACATGTATACATATGTAACAAACCTGCACGCTGTGCACATGTACCCTAGAACTTAAAGTATAATAATAACAATAATAAAAAAAACTAGGAATAACAGAGAACTTCTTCAATGAAGGGTATTCATGAAAACATCTATTTGTAAAACCTTGGACGTGTTCCCTTAAAGTCAGGAAACAATACGGATGCCCATTATCACTTTCTCTTCTGTATCATATTGAAGACCCTAGTCAATGCATGAGGACAACAAAAAGAAACTGAGGCACAGGGACTGGAAAGGAATCAGCTACTTTCCTTCTGCAGAATATGCCACTATTCACACAAAAACTCAAAAGAATTTCAGACAAATCATTAAAAATAGTAAGATAATTTAGCAGGGTAGTTGAATACAAGATACTATGTTTTTAAAAATCAGCTGCATTCCTATACAACAGTAACAGCAAATACATTGAAAAGACATCATTTACGATAGCAACAAAAATGATAAGGATTTTAGAAATAAATCTAACAAAAATCTATTCGTATAAAATCCTAAAACTTAGATTTTAAAGAATACTTAAAATTTAGTGAAATATATTGTCTTCATAGATAAGAAAACTCAGTATCTTAAGGAGGTTAATTCTTAATCTCTAGATTAAATGCAATCTCAATAAAATCCAATCTGAAATACACATGGAAGAACAGCCCAGAGTAGCCCACAGACTCTGAAGAAAAATAAGCTGAGGGTCCTGTTTTACCTGATTATCAGTGCTTATTACAATAGGGTATTAGGGCAGGGATGGACAATGGAACAGGAAGAGTCCAGAAACAGACACACATGTAAATGGAATTTTGATATGAAAGCAGTTGCACTGCGAGCTGAGGGGAAGAGAAAGATCTCCTGAATAAATGGTGCAGGGACAACTGATGATACGTATAGAAAAACAAAGTTGTATTCTTGACTCACACCATACACAAAATGCAATTCCAAATGGATCAAGGATTTCAACATGTAAAGCAAATTTTAAATGAAGAAAATGAAGGAGAATATTTTTCTAACCTTGGAATAGGGAAGAGCTTCTTCAGACACAAAAAACATTACCCTTAAAAGGAAAAAATGAACTATATTAAACTTAAGAACTTTTGTCCATCAAGAAATAACATAAAGGGAAAAGACAATTACCGAACTGAAAGAACAGATACATAACACATATAATATAGGTTTAGTATCATTATATAATCAACTCCTACAAATCCATACAACAACATCAAAAAAAAAAAAAACAATTAAAATTGGCCAAGAACACAAACAGGCTTTTCACAGAGGAGCAAAAAACATGATGGCCAGTAAACATGTGGAAAGAAGATTAATCTCATGAGTAATCAAAGAAAAGCCAATGAATATCACAAAAAGATATACATTGTATAATCATGAGATTAGCAGAAATTACTAAATTAGACAATTTCAAGTGTCAGAGAGGATATGGATGACTAAAACTTTATTTCCAGGGGGAGGCAAATAGTACTTTGGGAAGCAATTTGGCATTATCTTGTGAACATCTGCATATCTAATGACCTAGCACCTCCACCAGTAGGTATGTACCCAAAACAGTAGTTCTCAAACATTTTGCTCACAGGACCCCTTTATGTTCTTAAAAATTACTGAGGACTCCACAGGGCTTTTTGTTTATGTAGGTTATCTATTGATAGTTACCATGTTAGAAATTAAAATTGAGGCAGTTAAAATGTTTTGTGAGAAAGGGGTATTTTAAATGTTATTTTTCAAATCTCTTTAGTTTCTGGATTAATAGAAGAGAACTGATTCTTGTGTTTGCCTTTTGTAGTCAGTCTGTTGCAATATCCACATCATGTACTTCCTGGAAGACTCCAGTGTATACTTGGGAGAGAATGAGAGTTCAAATGGCAAAGGTCTTTGTATAATTACGAAAAGAGTTTTGACCTCCTCACTCTCTGAAAACTGTCTGTGGACCCTGAGGTCCCCAGATGACCCTTTGAGAACCACTATCCAAGGGAAACTGTTGTGTATGTACACCAGGAGACATAAACAAGAACGATATCATAGCATAGTCTGTATTAGCCCTAAACTGCAAATAGCTACAAACAGGAGAATGAATAAATTGTGGTGTAGTCATGCAGTGGATTATCAAACAGCAATGAAAGAACTACAGCTACATGCAAAAACTTAAGGATGTATGTTGATTGACAAAAGCAAGTCCCCTAAGACTATACATACAAATTCAGAAGAGTGGTTACTCTGCTGGGGAGAGAGATGTAAATTAATTACAGTGTACCCATTTTTGGGCTGAGAGGTAGATTCATGGTGTTAAAGGTACTGCAAAGGATAAGTGTATTTTAGATGATCAAATAGTCTATCAAAAAGTAATAAAGACTAGTTTAAAAAAGATATTAAAAGTCTGTTTTAACATTGAGTACCCCGAGACAGAAAGAAGGGAACAATAGACACCAGGGCCTATTTGAGGGTAGAAGGTGAGAGGAGGGTGAGGATTGAAAAACTACCTATTGGATATTATGATGATTACCTGGGTGACCAAATTATCTGTACACCAAACACTCGCAAAGTGCAATTCACCCATGTAACAAACCTGCACATGTACCCAATGAACTTCAAATAAAAGTTAGAAAAAGGAAAAAAAAAACAAACTACTTAAAACACTTGACTTTGATCTAATAAATCAGACATTAAAAGCATCAGCATAATAAGTTTTCTGGATACAAGATCAATACACATACACACACACAAATCAATTGTATTTGTATATACTAGAAACAAACTATTGGTAATTGAAACTAAAAAAAAAAAAATACAATTTGCAATGGCATCAAAAAATTTGGAAACCTAGAGAGAAATCTGACAACAGATGTATAACACCTCTATACCAAAAATTGTAAAACACTGCTGAAAGATATTAAAGCCCTAAATTTTAAAAGAAAGTCAGTTTTAAATCCGCCAAAATTTTAGGCATTTACTTCCTACAGGTGGTGAACATTTCTAGTGACTGATCAGCTAAAATCTCTCTATAAAGCCTGGGTAGAAACCAAAATTTTAATTGTTTTAGGGGCGTGTTTGGTAGAACAACTAGTTCTACCAAAGTAAGAGATCAACAATGTTACCTTGTGAAAGAGGTCACTAACAATTCCCACTGGCTGATTTTCACTTTGCTATATTTTTGTCAAAAAAAATTACAAAAAATCTAATACTTATATGCCTTTGACAACAAAAGGCATATTTAATCTTATTTAGTTTTTAGAACCCCAATAAAACCAGGACAGGTACCACGACCCTCATTTTACAGGTGAGTAAACTGAGATGCAGAGATCCTGAGTGACATCCCCCACTCACCCAGCTAGTGATTTGAACCCAAGGCCTTAGAAACCAGCTCCTTGGGTGTTGCACATCAAATATTAAACAGGAAGCCAAAGAACAGCCCAGACTTAAAAAAAGGAATTGTGAAATTCCTCTGGCTTCAAGAACGTAGGAACTACTGTGTGATTTGTATTTAGTTACGTGAAAGAATCTCTTACTACTAGCACTAATCTACCACTGCAATATATAGAACAGATTAAATTCATTTTGTTCTATGAATTTCAAGTTGTAATTCAAGACATCTTTTTTCTCTCTTCCCAATTACTTCATTTTAGCAATTTTTATAGCTTGAAAAATCCGCCAAAAAGAGAAAAATGGCTAAGAATACTGAAATCTGCGGAACTTTTCTTAGAAAGTCTAGGAAAAAGCTTGATGGGAAGTGAAAATAATGGACTCTTTTTTTTTAAACAAAGTATAGACATGCTGCTTATTCCACAGCACTGGTTCCCCACAGAACAGGTGACTTAAAGATGGCTTAACGTCAATAGAGCCCCAAACTAACTGAACTTATATAATAATGGAATTTCCTAAATAAAAACTATTTACATTAATATTATCCCTAAAATCTGGGCAAAATTAAAATTCACAGTAGCATTTAAATAATCTAAATTCCTTCATTAAATAAAAATGATTAAATATCATTTATCATTTTAAAATGAGCCCTCGTCCAGGGACTATCATACAGAAAAGAAAGCATTCATTATGAAAAATAAGATAGAATGAGAATTCTGCTATAAATCAAAAGATATTCAGTTTGCCACTGCTTTTGGCTTAATAGGAGCTGAAAAGTTGAGAGTTCTAGGACTTTTTAATAATCAAGTAAAATTGTTTAAGTTCTATAAAATTCCTGAGAAGCACAGTCTGTTTACCTGTAGAGAATCTGTAAATGCATCGTCCTTGTTTTCAATGGGTCGGAATAGTCCCTTTTTCTTCTCCCGGTCCCTTATATCTGGGCTGGCAGCACTAATGAGCATCTTCAGGTTAGCTGTGGGTGTCCATGGTTCCACTTGCTGTCTGTCAACAAGCTTCACTGGAGTAATGGGATTTCTTTCTGGAGTAAACTTTTTTTGCTTTGATAAATCAATTGGTTCATTTTTTATTGGAGTCTTCGGGGCCATCCTTGAGCGATCAACAAATATATTTTCCTATTTTAAAAAAGAGACTTTTAGCAAGAATGAGAAAGGGCAGGTATCAGCTAAGAGTACACTTTGTTCCCACCATTCACTAAGACTTGAAAATACAAATAGGACCGTATGTTTAGGGCTGAAAAGTATTAGGATAGGACTAACAAAAAGTAGCAGACGTCATAGGAATCGAAGAGTGGCTCCAGTGAGAAGTAGATTATAATCTGCTACTCCTTTTACACCTATCTTTCATGGTATCTCTGTAAGAGAAATCACAACGTATCTGTTACTGTTGCATGTTTGTAACAGATGAGGACTATGAGGGCGAATGCCGGTTGAGTCCATATTGTTTCTAAGTGTCATCTTTTTTCAAACACTGCTTACAAGTTTGCATTGACTAGTGAAGAGCAACAATGCTTTTGTAGTTCACTGTGCACCAGTGCTAATACAGCACTTAGTAGCAGGACCAGTTAATGGAAGAGCATCCAACAAAATCCCACATTTTAAGTCAACCTAGAGAGCTCTCTAATGTCATTCTCCTAGAGCAGTGCATCTCAAACTACCCATGGTAAAGGACTCGTTTTTTTAGATTTCCAAACTCCTGCTAACTGATATGTGACCTTACTTCATAGGACTAATATGCAACACAACTCCCACCAGATGGGATTTGCCATTTGAGTTTGTCACTCAAACTGACCCATAGCTTCTTCAACAAGAGACCACTAATCATAAGCTTGGATATGGTGGCAATACTGAATTGCTACTGAGGTTTATTTTTCTTCCTTTTTTTTTTTTTTTTTTTTAAAGATAGGGTCTCACTCTGTTGCCCAGCCTGAGTACAGTGGTGTGATCGTGATTCACTACAGCCTCAAACTCCTGGGCATGTGCAATCCTCTTGCCTTAGCCTTCCGAGTAGCTGGGACCACAGACATGCACCACTACACCCAATACTTTATTTTATTTTTTGGAGATAGGGTCTCGCTCTGTCACCCAGGCTGGAGTGCAGTGGCATGATCACAGCTCACTGCAGCCTCAAACTCCTGGGCTCAAGTGATCTTCCCACCTCAGCCTCCCAAAGTGTTGGGATTTCCAGTGGTGTGCATAGTACAGTGGTGTGCACACCATTTCCAGTGCACACCACTGCACCCAGCTAATTTTTAAAATTTTGTGTGGAGACGGGGGTCTCACCATTTTGCCCAGGCTGGTCTTGAACTTCTGGCTTCAAGTGATTCTCCTGCCTCCGCCTCCCAAAGTGCTAGAATTACAGGCATGAGACACCACACCTGGCCTTTTAAAATTTTTTGTAGAGATTGGGGTCTCACTGTGTTACCAAGGTTCATCTCAAACTCCTGGCTTCAACTAATCGTCCCATCTTGGCCTCTCAAAGTGCTAGGATTACAGGCATGAGCCACCACACCTAGACTACTGAGGTTTTTAAGTGCTTAACTCCCAAGTTTCATTCTTTTTTGCACCCTAGTGATAGTTTGTGGAATAGCATCTGCCTCCAGACCACACTTTGAGGTAGAATGTCTTAAATAATTCTAAGAAAAGATTAACAATGGGCCCATTGTAAAAAAAGACGAAGTATATAGAATCCACCTTTGGAACTACCAAGTAATTAAAATGTATCTTTCCTCTAAAAAAGTTTCAAAAATTCAATATGAGAATTTGGTAATTCAATATTCAAAAACAGAAAGATTCTGCTTTCTGTAGTATTCCCTTGCAGTCAACAGTGTCTTACATAATTACAAAGGGAGATGAATTATCTGTCACTCTGTCCCTGTACACTCTATACAGCTACTGAATGGTGGTGTTTTGGTTGAGCAGGGGTTTACAATAGTGTTTTCCTATAAATGAGCAATGTGTGAAGAGGTAAAATATTGGGAGAAACTGGAGTTTGTGTAGGCAAGGCAACTCTTGCTCCTTGGATCAGCAGAAGCTGCAAGCTAGCCATGGCAACATTCGGTGCTAGTGTAAGCAGAAGGAGAGGAGTCAGTGGAAGTGGCGATTTCTCATACTACAGTAAGTACCCGGCCCAGAGTGCTGCATCTACCCACCTCTTTTAACAAGTCCCTGTTAGTGTGCTATTCTGATAAAGGCTTCTACAGGTGAACTCTCAAGGGAAATTACTGTTTACTATGTGCCACACCCTGTTTCCTGTATTTTGCATGTATTGACTCCTCATCCAATCCTGTGACATAGGCAGTAATATTTTTCCATTGTATAGATGAAGAAACTGAGGCACAGAGAAGTCAAATAACTTGCCTGAGGTCACCTATGACCTCATTCAGTGTAAAATCATTGGTATGCAAGAAATAGCTGAAGGCAGAACTTTCTGAAATTCTGCATCTAAAAATGAGCTTGTGTCCTGGGTACAGACCGGGAGGAAGTTATCTTTTTCCCAGCTCCAACCAAAGGTAGCCAGCAAGCCACTGATCCCCACTAGCACCTAGGGAGAGGCAGCATGGGGAAATAGTTAGATGCGCAGGATGTAGGTCCAGCTAACCTGCCCCTGCTTACATATCAGCAGGGGTGAGTGTGGCAAGTTCCTGTACCTCACTATACTTTATTTCTCTCAACTGAAAATGAAGTTCATAAAAATACCAATCTCAAGGGTTATGAGATTAGTTCCTGGAATATAGGGAGCGCTCAATAAAACTTAGCTATTATCTTTTCCCTCTTTTCTATTCTTTATTACCATTCACTCACATTTCGAGCTAAATATACTACAGCACATCATATTGCTATTTAACTTCCTGGATGTGTGTCTTGTCTCAATAACAAGACTGTGCTCTTGAGAAGGTCAAGAAGCAAGTTCTACACGTCCTGTTAGTCACAATTTTTGGCACAATGCCTTGCCCACTGCAGGTACTCAAAGAACACTGTGCTTTGATGCGTTATTCCAAAAGCTATCCTCATGGTGGAGGGTGTGGTCCAGGCATGCTGGGTGGACAGAGATTTACACGCCTTCTCCATTGCTTCCAACAGAGTTACTTTTTCCCTAGCAAGGGAGCAATTGAGAATGGATTATTTCTTCATACACTTTGATATATTTTCACTGTAGTTTACCGAATACTTAAAGTAGGATGGGAGTTAGGTCATGTGGTAGGTTATGATTGTATTACACCTCTACATCAAGAGAAAACAATGCTAAGCCAGTTGTATTCTAGGGTCTCAGGTGGACAGAAAGTCAATTGCAATCTAGTCACACCTTGCTCCATCTATCTGTCCTGCTATGCTGACAGCACATACGGCTGTGGAAAGGGCACTGCAATGGAAACCTGATTTGTGTCCCAGCTGTTTGTATCTTTTTGATCCTGGACAACCATTTATTCTTTCTGGGCCCAGGTTTCCGTATGTATAAAATGAGGAATTTAGATGAAAGTGTCTATCTCCAAGGTTTTCTAGCAAGGCTGCCTCGCTGTGGAGTGGATGCTGGGATGCACCCTATCACTTCAGACATGACTCATTCCCCAGCTGCTGGAAGTAATGCCAACAGTCATCCCATAACCGGAAGGCTTTGGCTGAAGACGGCTGACTCGTCCAAGGTCACACCACTTCCTGGGAAGCCTCTCCTGTACTCACTGGCTGGCAGAAGTAGCACAGACATATAAAAGCCAGGCCTCTGGGAGGCCAAGGTGGGCGGATCACGAGGTCAGGAGATGGAGACCATTCTGGCTAACATGGTGAAACTCCGTCTCTACTAAAAATACAAAAACAAAAATTAGCCGGGCGTGGTGGCAGGCACCCGTAGTCCCATCTACTCTGGAGGCTGAGGCAGGAGAATGGCGTGAACCCGGGAGGCGGAGCTTGCAGTGAGCCAAGGTCATGCCATTGCACTCCAGCCTGGGCGACAGAGCGAGATTCCGTCTCAAAATAAAAAAAAGCCAGGCCTCCTTGCCCCAACTCTGGACTCCTTTGATGGCTGCCCTGGAACTCCCCAGAGGGTAACTTCCACTGTGACAGTATTGCAGCTCCACTTATCCTTCTGTCCAATTCCATGCCTTCCTGTCCCTTCCATAGGCATTGATCCCAAGAGTACTTCCTAATAAACCTCCTGCACACTTAACCTCTGGGTAAGATCTGCTTCAGGAAATCTAACCTGCAACAGCCTGGAAATCACTCCCTCCATTAGAGTGTCTGGAGAAATGTATCCTGTCAAATGGCCCTCTAGTTCTCTATAGAAATAGAGGTAATACACCTTGGCTTACCTACCATAGAGTTGCTGTGATGATGAGCTCAGAAGGTCAAAGCACTCTGTCATCTGTGAAGTGCTATACAAATGTTCATTATTATTACTAATAACACCAGCACACTGACTATAGGTAAACTGGTTTGTGCTGCCACAGAAAGGTCTTCGTTGTCTTGGTTCTAGTCCTGCTCCTGTGTCCGATACGGCTTTGATCATGTTATCTCAAACAATATACACAGTCAAGTGTATATATTAGCTCTGGGCCATATTTAGCCAACCTCTTTTTCAGTTCCCTCTCATGCACATCCCACATTCTGCCCAAACAGTCCCCTTGCTACTCAGACCTGCCCTGCACTTTATCACAGCAAAGCTCGCACTCACACCACCACTTCCTCTTTAATGCCACTGGCTTTGCCTGTTGAAATTCTGTCTACTATTTAAGTCTCATTGCAACGACTACATGTTAGAAAGTATCTCCTTCTAGCTATGGTCCAACAACTCTCCTTCTTTCCAGAGCACACTTTCTAGAAGCAATCCCCACTGAGGGTTTTCTCTGCCTACCTCCTAGGGGTCCCTCAAACTACCAGTCTGTTCTGATCCACTGGTCTTACTTAGGTCACCTCTCACTTGCCAGATCAAGTCAATGGCAAAATATCTTACTTGACCTCACTGCAGCAGTTAAGACTGTTGACTATTCTTTGCTCTATAGAACTCTCAGCCCTTAACTTGTGAGATTCCACTGTTTCTTTCTCTCCTGGTTCTTCTCATACTTCTGGCTGTGCCTTCTCAGCCTCCTTCTATTTTCACTCTTACAAACCAAACCGCAAGAGTCCACACACAACCCTTTGCTGCTCTCTCACTATTTGCCACTCCCATGTATAGAGCTTTAAAATCAGCCTGTATGCTGACAATTCCTGTTCGGACTTGATTACGACCTTTCCTGAATTCCAAAATCAGGCTACCTGCTGCTTTCTGCACATATTTATTTACCTATAAATCACACAGCTACAAACATATTCTAAACTGAACTCACCTTCCTTCTCACCCACTCCCAAAAGAGATGAATGACCTTCAAAGAACACCCATGTCCATTAAGTTTGGGCATTGTCCCCAAATATGCCATGCTCATTTCCACTTCTTCACTAGCTCCCCTCCTTTCTACTTGCCTAAGACTCAGTATTCCTTCCTTCCCGCCACAGCTCAAGTGCTAGCTCCTTCACAAAGCTCTCCTAGCCTCTTTGCCCCAGACTACCTGTTTTCTACTTTTGTTGTCTCAGGTGCATTGTAAACAGGTAAGAGGCATAGTAACTTTGGATAATGAAGCCGGAAACTCCTTTATGTTTTAAAGAAAAGTTTCTCCATGACTGGTAAGAAGGTGCATGCATAATACAGTACTTACAGACCCTGACCAAAGGGCAAATGGCCAAGAAAGAAATCCTCTAAATGACCGCTGATCCAGCAAGACACCACTCCAGGTATTCCCCAGAGAGATTCCAAGAAGGAACAACTCAGCGCCACTAGCTTCCAGTCACTCTTGATTTCTTGAACAGTTTTTGAATGCTCATACCTCATGCTGTTTCTTCTGCCTAAAATGTCCATCTCGTTCACTCTTGCTTTCTTGGAGGTTGAGCTTCCTCATCCACTAATGCTTAGCCCAAATGTCCCTTCCTCTGTGAAGCTTTTTAACTCTCTCTGAACTTCCCATGAATTTATTTCCTCCTCTTCTTTCTGCCCAGGTAATTTGTTCCTACGCCTAGTATAGCACTTACCAAATCACAGCATAGTTTTACATTTGGGCCCCTGAAAGTCTCCCTGGTAACTGAGGGCAGGGTGGACATCATGCTCATCTTTAGGCTATCAGTCTAATTCCAAACAGTGTGAAGGCTATGTGCTTATGGGTGCTTTACAAAAACTCAATGTGGGGAGTATTATATATTAATTCCAATTCATGGAAGAAAAAAATGGACTTAGGGAGATTAGGAAACTCATTAAATCACCATATCCCCAGCATCTGGAACAAAAATATTTGTTGAAAGACCTTGTAAGTATATTTGTTTTAGGTCACATAGCTAACAAATGGCAAAGCAGGAAATCAAACCCAGGACCTCTTGGCTCTTAAACCCCATGTTTTCATTATCCCTAGAAAGCGTCCTTCCTTTACTTCATAGCAGCATGAAAACGAGAGACAGAAGCCCCTCCTAGTAACTCTATGAAAGCACACTGTTCTCATCTCTTGCCTTCTATTTGAGGTGACATAATCCCTGCTTATAAATGTTATTTCAAACATTTTCACTGCTTTCCCAATCTCTTTAAGTCACTTGAGGTTTTTTTCCCACACACATTAGAATGTGAAAGTTCGACTGGACACAGTAGCACTTTCTGATGCTAGAGGAGAAGGGTCCCTGTTGAAGGTACTTGATAAGTCATTGACCCAAAGGAAGAGAAGCAAAGCACTAACTTAGACTTTATATAAATGTACAGATATATATTTTTTCAAGGCTGAACCATCCAAATTGGAAAGGAACACAAAGTTTTGCTCTAAAACTCTCAAAGTCAAAACTCTGAATATACACTTTAAGTCTGGGCATTTCCACCCTCATGACTTAGATAATTAAAAAAAAAAAAAAGCCACTTTAAATAATCTTCGCTTTATCTGTGGTTTCACTTCCAGTGGCCAACTGTGGTCCAAAAATATCACATGGAAAATTCCAGAAATAAACAATTCATGAGTTTTAGACTGTGTGCAGTTCTGTGTAATGAACTCTCACGTCATCCTGCTCCGTCCTGCTTGGGATGTGACTCACCCCTTTGTCCACCGTATTTGCACTGTAGACACTACCTGCTCGTTCATTAGTCACTTAGCAGCCACTGTGTTATCAGGCTGGCCGTCATGGTATTGCAGTGCTCATGTTCGAGTAACTCTTATTTGACTTCATAATGGCTCCAAAGCACAAGAGTAGTGATGCTGGCCATTTGGATATGCCAAAGGGAAGTGATAAAGTGCTTCTTTTAAGTGAAAAGGTGAACGTTCTTGACTTAAGGAAAGAAAAAAATCGTACACCGAGGTTGCTAAGAGCTACTGTAAGAATTTCCTATCTGTGAACTTGTAAAGAATGAAAAAGAAATTCATGCTAGTTTTGCTGTCATACCCCAAACTGCAAAAGTTATAGCCATGGTACATAAGTGCTTAGTTAAGATGGAAAAGGCACTAAATTTGGGGGTGGAAAACATAAACAGAATAAGCAGAAATGTGTTCCAACTAATGGCAATCCGGTTCACTATTATCCACAGTTTCAGGTACTCACCGCAGGTCTTGGAACACATTCCCTGTGGATAAGGTGGACTACTGTATTTCTTTACCTAATAAAAATAAATCAAAATGCTAGACAAAAAAAAAATCCCTAGATGGGGGAGCATACAATTTCGCATCTATCCTAAATTAACAATTATCAAGTATTCTTCAAAGGCTCATATAAGCATGGGTTGCTTTGCAACCAAGGAGTTTCACTTTGATGCTAAAAATAAGACCAGGAGCTCAGAGAAGTTCAATGCCCAAGTTGCTACTCACAGATTTATATTCAAAGTTTCTAAAACTTGTTTTGTTATTTCTATTTGCCTCTGCCAAAAAGTGCTCAGATAGTTGAGACATTGTTATGGCCAGTTTCTTTGTAATGTTTCTTGAAAACAACACCTTGGTCTTACAAATCACAAGGAGTGCAAAATGTAAGGGAATGGCTCAGTGCAAAACTAGCAATAGTATGGTAAAATATTCAGAATATACTGATGAGTTCAGCCACTTTATCTCCCTATATGGGAGGCACTGGTCTACTCTTGGGTGAATGGAACAGTCTCTGGGAGCTAGTTCATCGGTATGAAGACATTTCACAGCACTTTAATAATCCCGCATTTATGCCTACAAAGGTCTATTTTCCTGGGAACTGAGGCTTAGCATTCCTACAAAGCATTAGCTACACCACCCTTGACAACTGTATTATAAACTTTGATTGCTGTAGCCAGCATATTTTTGACGGATATAAATTGGTTACAACATTACATGTAACCTCACCTATTTTTCCCACTATATCTGAGAGTAGAATTGCAACAATAATAGTTTGGATCGCTCTATTTTTTAAAAAAGAATGTTTCTATAATGTTTATCAATATTACTTTCTATGCTTAAATACAAATACAAATGGCATGTTGGAACACTTAATTGAATTCAACATCACCATCCTTAATATGTTAGAAACTAAGGTGTTTATGTTAGCTTACCTTTTGTGCATTTTCCCCATCTTCAATTGCAAAATCCAGTCTGGGCTGCCTGGGGCTGATCAGGTCTTTTAGTGTTAAACAATTTACCTCCATCTGTAATGCACAATTACACTAGAAAATGATTTTGCAATTAGGTACCTTTTCCTCAAACAAAAATATCTACATATGTGTTACTTGTTTGTCAGTATGAAATTCCCCCTTGCCTAAGCACATCCTGGGCATTTCCAGGAGTTGTAGCCACCCTCAACTTTCTAAAACACACGAACAAACTCAAACACCTAAAGTGTGCTTAGTAATACTGAAAATCTGGGAAGAAAAAAAATCTACAAAAACAGTACTTCTTTATGAAAAACTAGACGGCAAAATAAAGTTACCAAGTCGGAAGGGTGTTGGGCAAATCTGTCAGAAAGTACAGGGTCTCCCAGGTCAGTTAATTTTGGCGCAAAGAACTGAGAGGAATTCGGCTTTGAGGGGTTTTGAATCAGGGGGAAGGAAACCCGATCGCCAGACCAAACCCACTCAGCGCTGAGCGTAGCCCCTTCCCAGGCCTCCAAGCAGATCCCCCAAATAAACTCCTCCAATGAAAGCCCCAAGTTGTGGGGAAGGGCAAATTCCCTCTACTGCCGGGCTGGAGGGAGAGCTGCACCCGGCACACCCTCTGCGCACCGGGTCCCCCGGCAGAAACATCTCGAGCCCTCGCCAGCCGGGGGACGTGAGGGGTGGCAGGTTGGCAGCCGGGGCGGGAGTGGTCCCCGTATCCCAATTCCCGCCTCCCCACCAGCGCTGGGGCCACACGCTTACCGCTTACCCCTGCTTTCCGAAGGAGGCTTCCTGCCTCTGCAGGGACCTCCACCGACCCAAGCCGATGAGGGAAGGTGGTGCGGCGATCAGCAGCCGGGCGGCGGCATCGGGAAGGGAGAGCTAGGTGCGCAGATCCCCGCGCCGAGTGCCCTGGGCTGGCGGGGACCCCGCGGCGTCCCAACAGCGCCAGCGCTCAGACCCGCCGAGCGCGACTCCAGCCTGGATCGTAGTCCCCGCTAAAACACCTCCTCTGGCGCCTTGAGACCGAATTTGAGAATCCACCAATCAGCGGCGGCCGGCGGGGTGGCCCCGGCCAATCGTGCGGCGGCACGGCCCGGGCTCACCACCCCTCGGAGTCTTGGCGCTCCGAGTCGCGCGTTTTGCCCTCACCCGCCCAATTGTTGCCGCCTCGGCCCCCTCCCCCTTCCGGGTACCTGGAAACCTCGGGCCCGGGAGCCAATTCCTGCTGTGGACGCGGGCCCGGGCGGCCGCGGGAAGCCAAGGTGGGGGCGGCGCGGGGCGGCGGGAGAAGGAAGAGGAGGAGGAGGAGGAGGAGGAGGAGGAGGGCTCTTTTGTTATGCATAGAAGACCCGCGCACGTCCCCAAGGCTTACCGCGCCCGGGGACCCCGGGCACAGCCAGAGGAGAGGAAAGCAGATGGGGTTTGGAAGAACGATCTACACCCTCTGGATGCTGCTGCCGCCATCCCCACCCGCCCTCAGCAACCTGTGCGGAAGCGGAGTTGTCCAGACTTGCCGGGGCAAACTTCCTAACACCGCACGCTGGTGTGACACATGAACCATGGTTACCGCTCTGCTGTGAGCAGATGGCACGCCAGTTAGCCCTGGAGACTAGACTGGAAGCCAAACCAGAAATTTGTGTGTGTGTGTGTGTGTGTGTGTGTGTGTGTGGCAAATCCGGAAATGTTTTTTGGTGTTCCCTTTTCGGCACATTGCAAATAATTAGGAGGGAAAAAGCTTTATGTAAAAAAGTAATTCTTTGCAATAGGGACTAACATTCTGGGCGACAGTCTAGAAAATTTCCTCAACACCACTGATTTGTATTAACTGTTTCACTTCTTTCATCCTACAGTTTCTTGTTTAAAATATGAATGTTGGTAGTGATCGATTTTTTTACAAAATAGACTTTATTATTTAGAAGTTTTCAATTTACAGAAAAATTGAGATAGTACCAAGAATACCCATATATTCAGCACCCAATTTCACCCACTATTAACATTTTGTGTTAGTATAGAATATTTTTTGAAATTAATGAACTAATATTGGTAGATTCTTCTGAGCTAAAGTCATTACTTTATTCAGATTTCCTTAATTTTTTCCTAATGCCCTTTTTTTTTTTCTGTTCAGGATACCACGTTACCTTTAGTTCCCATGTCTCTGTAGGCTCCTTTTGGCTATGACAGTTTCTCATACTTTCCTCATTTTTGACACCTGGACATTTTTGAGTTGTATCGGTCAAGTATTTTGTAGGATATCCCTCAACTGAAATGTGGGACAGCCTTAAAGCATCAGACATTCTTAAATGTACAGACATTTCCCTACACCCCATATACTTTACAGCAAAGGTATCATTTTCCTTTCTGTACCAAGGCTCCACTCTTCACCACTTACCCTCCAAATATTTTTATTTTATTTTTGGAGATGGAGTCTCGTGCTGTCACCCAGGCTGGAGTGTAGTGGCAAGATCTCGGCTCACTGAAACCTCCACCTCCTGGGTTCAAGCGATTCTCTGCCTCAGCCTCTCGAGTAGCTGGGATTACAGCTGTGCTCCACCACGCCCGGCTATTTTTTGTATTTTCAGTAGAGACGGGGTTCCACTGTGTTGGCCAGGCTGGTCTTGAACTCCTGACCTCAGGTGATCCGCCTGCCTCCACCTCCCAAAGTGCTGGGATTACAGGTGTGAGACACTGCGCACGGCCTCAAATACATATATTTTAAATGAACTCTCAGCAGAATTCAGACTGCTCAATCACGTCCTTCACTTCGTACTCTAGATTGCTGGTAAATAGAGCCTTAAAAAAAAAATCACTGCTAGGTCATACATTGAAAAGAGAAAAGTGTGCAAAAATTAAACAAAAGAAACAATAGTAATAAAAATCTGACATTTTAATAGGAATAACATTTTGAACTGAAAACTCTTTTGTAGGTAGAAACCTAATGAGGCGTTTAAAGAATAAAAAATTGCAACTTATTAAATTTTGCACATATATGGAAGCAGGAAGTAGATAAGGAAATACTTTTCCCAACTGTATTCATTTTCTAATGCTGTTGTAACAGATTACCACAACTGGCTTATGAGGACAGGGATTTATTCTCTCACATTTCTGGAAAGTTAAGGTGTTCCCAGGGCTACACTCCAGGGGCTCTTATCCTTTTCTTCTTCCTGTTTCTGGTGGCTGTTAACAATCCTTGACTTGTGGCAGCCTCACTCCAATCTCTACTTCCATGGTTACGTTGCTTTCTCTTTTGTCTGTTAAGGCTCTCCCATGTGTCTCCTTTGAGGATACCAGTCACTGAAATTAGGTCCTACCTGGATAGTCCAGGATGATCTCATCTTGAGATCTTCAATTTAATTGCATCTGGGAAGATCCTCTTTCCAGAGTCATGTTCCTTCATGGGTTCTGGGGATTAGGACATGAACACACCTTTTTGGAGCCCACCAGTCAGCCTTCTAGACCAACATTCAAATTATTAAAGTTCATTCATTTCTCTGATATTTCAAAATACTAGTGATGGTTTCTTTGAGGTTAGACAGTTTCATGGTGCATAACTTTTCCTAGCATTTTCAGAGTAAAAGTACTTTTTCTATTTTGATACAAATGTAGCCACTATTCAAGTTACAAAAAAAAAAAAACTCAGGTGGATACATCACTTCAGGCACTTATAATTTCATTGATTATAGGAGTTATCTTAGATTTGGAGGAAAACTGGAAAATAAATATTTGATGGACAAATTCAGAGACATTATTCCAATACACTTATATTGATGTTTTATATTGATGTTTTTAAGTCCCAGAATGCATACATAACTTGTCAATCTCTCGGTGATTCAGTTAACACTGATGTTGGCTGGGAACTAGGCTGGAGTATCAAGAAGAGTCTTGACATGTGACCTCTCCATATGGCCTGGTCCTCCTTACGGCATGGTAGCTCAAGATAGTTGGACTTCTTCCAGGGTGGCTCCTGGGATCCAAAATGAACATGCCATGTAGCAAAGTGGAAATAGTATCACCTTTTGTGATGTAGCCTGAGAAATGATAGCATCAATTCCACTACAGTTTTTGGGAGGAAGCAGTCAAAAATCCACCCATATTCAAGGGGAAAAGACATATACCTCACTCTCAATGGGAGAAGTGTCAAAGAATTTGGGGCTATATTTTTCTCTCTCTTTCTATATATGTGTGTGTGTGTATATATACATATATATTTATATACGTGTATATGTGTACATATTTAAATTATACTTAAGTTCTGGAATGCATGTACAGAACATGCAGGTTTGTTACATAGGTATACACATGCCCTGGTGGTTTGCTGCACCCATCAACCTGTCATCTACATTAGCTATTTCTCCTAATGCTACCCCTCCCCTTGCCTCCCATCCCTGACTGACCCAGGGGGTGATATTCCCCTCCCTGTGTCCATGTGCTCTCATTGTTCAGCTCCCACTTATGAGTGAGAACATGCAGTGTTTGGTTTTCTGTTCCTGTATTAGTTTGCTGAGAATGGTGGTTTTCAGCTTCATCCATCTCCCGGCAAAGTACATGAACTCATCCTTTTTTATGGCTCCATAGTATTTCATGGTGTATATGTGCCACATTTTCTATTATTGATGGGCATTTGGATTGGTTCCAAGTCTTTGCTATTGTAAACAATGCTGCAATAAACAAAGGTGTGCATGTGTCTTTATAGTAGAATGACTTATAATCCTTTGGGTATATACCCAGTAATGGGATTGCTGGGTCAAATGGTATTTCTGGTTCTAGATCCTTGATGAATCACCACACTGTCTTCCAC